CGCAAGGCGCTGCAGCTCCCTACAACGGTAGGTAGGACAAATACAAATGGTACCCAATAGGCAGCGTCTGGGTCGGGGGATTCGGCTGTTTTCTGGTCGTCATGCCAAACAGATCGTTCGCCTCTTTCCTGCATGTCCGATGATCAAGGCAAGCGGCCGGATCGCCGTTTATTTTGAGGATTAGAAATTCCTTGTGTATGACCAACGGGCTTCGCGGATATACAACACGTGTCCACGACAAAACCCTCAGCCACCGCCGCGACATCCATCGGGGAGGCCGCCCGTAGGTAACCGCTCCCATAAGGGCGTTGACCATCACCGGCTAAACCGGGCGAAACTGGGTTGGGTGAGGTCGGCGCAGCTAACGCTTAAGCTTACCCGGTGGGCCTAAGTTAGTTGTTTTTAACACGAATGTCACCCAACTCTCTCAACTTCTAGTACGGCTTGGATCGAGGGCACGTCGCGAGTTGATTTCATCATAAAGTATTTGAGCTGGGTGCGGATTTAGCGCATGTTATCGACACAGTATTTGATTTGATTTGGCAGCAATGTCACCGATGCTGAGACGCAAGACGGGTAGGTACCTGGGGCAACCGAGGTGGTCACAGCCAGGCAGCGCGGGGCGTGCACTCGTAAAATAAAAACGTCAATTGTTATTTGACATAGGGTGAACGCCTATGATCGCTGTCAAGCGGGGTAATGTCACCATGGCTACTGCTATTGAAAGAAGTTTTGGCAGTAGTGTTGCCGACTTCTGCGAAGAATAAGATCATCCCCAAACCATCCCCGGGTAAAAAGGAGCCATACGACAAGTAAGTGCCGAACAGGCAAGTAGAAGTGAAGAAAAACCAGAAGAACAAAATGGTCGTGAAGCTTCGTAAGTTGTACTCTACCAACAACCGCTCCTCCATAAACCACCACAATGTAACCGAATCGGCCAAGGGACCGCCGGAACGCCTGGCAGTGTCCGCGTACATGCTTAAGCACCCATGGAGCTAGCCTCGTTCGAGTTGGGATAAAAGAAGGCCACTACGGCAATGATGATGTAGGTCGCGCACAACAACGCACCCTCGAGATAGTTACTCCTTCCGTCGAGAACCAAAAAGTTGACAATGAATGCCGAAACGAACAGACAGACGGTCTCAAAGAGGGTGAAGTACAGCGTCATGTCGCGGTCCAAGGCCCAGCCGATGATGACGACGAGGGGCGTGATGAAAAGGGCGATCTGGATGGAGCTGCCGACGGCGACGCCGATGGCGAGGTCCATCTTGTTCTTCATGGCGACGGTGACGGCTGTGACGTGCTCGGCGGCGTTGCCGACGATGGGTAGGATGATGAGACCGATGAAGATTTCGCCGAGAGGGCTGGTCTCGACAACCTCATTGATGGAACCAACAAGGAACTCGGCACACACGGCAACGAGACCAGTGGAAAAGAGCAAGAGGAGGATGGCGGCGGTGCGGGATAGGTGATCGTCGTCGTCGGCTTTGTTGTCAGCGCCGAGGCCGCTGTTGACCGCAGCCGCAGCAGCACGTGGCGGTACCATAGCACCGGGCGCGCGGACGGTACGGCCGTACTGGTTCAGGCGGTCGGGCAAAGAGTTGGTGCGGCGGATGCCGAGGCGAACGCGAGGGACGGGTCCCGCAGAAGACGTGGGAGCGATGGTCGAAGGATCGGGAGGCGCGGTGAAGACCGCGGGGGCAAAGCTCTTGATGGATAGACCGCGTAGGCCGGACACAGGCCTAGCGCGAGGGTTCGGTTGTGATGCCTCGGTGGCCTCGCTCGTGGGCGCGGCGCCCTGGTTAGCAAAGTCGAAACGCAGGGGTTCACCGGGCTGCGCCGAGGTCACGGCCTGACCACTTGTAACGGGCTCGTGGCCGTTAGTGTCAACACCGCCGCGAGAGCTCTTTTTAGACTTTTTGTGCTTGTGGTGGCGCCTGCGGTGCTTGCGGTGTTTACGTGGGCTCTCCTCCATGGCCTCATCACTGCCACCCGAGTTGAAACGGGGTATATTAGGACGGCTACCGGTCCCCTCAGAGCCGTTAGAGGTGGCGACAGAAGAGGTGCGGGTCCTGGAGAGGCCATCGACGTTGACAGATGCCACACTGGACTTGCGCCTTCTGCCGGCGCGCATTACCTTTCTCATTGTCTTGCGGACGGTGCCGCGAGAGCTGTCCGAGCTGTCCGAGTCCATGTCGTCATCGGATGTATCTTCGGAACTCGACAAGTCGAAGAAGCCGATGGCCGGGCCCGGTGCGGACTCGGCATCCACAATGTGTTGTGGAGTAGACTCATACATGTAGGCATGGGACCTCAACTGAAAGAGCAGGTACAAGATGTACACCAGAAGGAGGATCTAGTCACGATGAGAAAAAACGAATTCCAATCAAAACTTCAAAGCGGAGCACTCACCACACTAGTACCACGGCTGATCTTCAAAGTCTGGTCTTCGGCCTTGAAACTATTCTGGAAAGAGGCGTGGAAAGCCGTCTGCAGTTGTATGAGTTTCCCGAATGATTGAATCGGCAGCGAGGGGGGGGGGGGGACGTACCGGTAAGACCAAGCTGATGACGCTTAAGCTCAGCAGACAAGCACTCATTTGCGTGACGGTGCTGTTGTAAATCTGATATGCGTCGTCAGTATAATGCTCCAAGTAGCGTCGAGTCGGCCAAACTAACCTGCTCACGGAAGCGCAGACCACCGAGAAAGAAGCACATGCCCAGAATGAGCAGGAGGTTGGCCAGGATGGACCCAAGAAGGGAAGCCTGGACGATTCGAATTTCGTTCTGTTGTCCGCAATGTTAGCCTAGGGTCGCCTGCCCACGAGAGTTGGGGTAACAAACCTTCACAAGCGCGATGCTGTTTGGTCACAAAAATATGTTCACGTTAGTCAACCGCAAAGGACCAAATTTACTTTCAAACACCAATTGGAGCAGTGGCACCAAGGCTATGGGACGGAAAGTTGTGCATGGGTTGGGACTCGGTTTATGGGATAATGTCTTTTTCCTTGGATAATCGACTTCTCTCGTCCCTCATCTTGGCCACCGGCAAAAGGGTAAGTATGAACATACATGCTAGATTGCGAAGATAAGCATTAGCCAAGACCGCGCCAAGATATACATGGGCTGAGGGTTGGAAGCCAAAGATGCAGGGTGCGACACGGCCAAGACAGCTGCCAAGCCGAGCCCAAAACCTTCGCATTCTGAACACCCCCCCTTAACTCAACTCAAACCACACCATTGGCAGCCTTTGACAGGACTGACTCAGGAGTGAAGGTTTAGACGGGAAAAACTTACAAGATAATCAACTCGACTGCATTGCCGAATGTCACGTTCAGCAGGGCGCCGATGGTGTCGCCGAGCTTGCTGGCGACGGACTCGGTGGCGTGGCTGAGCAGGCCGGCGAGCGGGATAATGGCGATGGCGTTCATGGCGAAGACGAGGCCCGGGTTGAGGTCGAGGGCCTGGACGATGATGCCAATGGGCACAAAGATGAGCAGCAGGTTGACCCAGCTGTGGAACAGAATCATCTTAGAGGTGAGGTAGAAGCGGGTGAAGACGGAGGGCTTTGGCTTCTGGTCGGAGGGTGTGTTGTTGCCTTTCTCCTGCGAGGAGACGCCGGCGTCGCTTAGGACAGGCCTCTGGCCCGAAGGTTCCTTTGCGGCGACATCCTCGGTGGTGCGGGGGCTGGTTTTGTCGGTGACATCGTCCGCGTGGCCGAGGGTCGAGCCGGCGGCGCCATGATTCCTGCTGACGGAGGGATCCGTGGTGTAGGTTGTGTTACTGGTATCTCGCTGGTGGGCGGGAAAGGTGGACGACTTGCTGGGCAAGTTAGGAGTGAGATTGGCATTTATGCCTGCAGGTATAGCTGAATCGTCTCGAGGATTGGAACGGGGGCTGCGACGGGCGGCATGCGAGGATCCAGGTGCACCAGAGCGTCTGCTGTCTGTATTAGGGGGTCCAGGAGAGTCGTTCTTCATCGAAATAGATGACCGGACACTCGTGTCTCGGCGGGAGGGCGACTGATGGGATGGGATATCTTTTTCTGGTATCGAACGCGAGCTTATTTATTCATTCGCTTGGTTGCTCGAAAGAGGCTGAACTGTTTCCAAGACCACTTAGCTTCGGAAAGGGGAAGAGTGAGAAGTGCGGCCTACAAGAGGGAAGAGAAGAAAGAAATTCGGAAGGGAATGTGGTCGGACGTGACGAAGATAAGGGATTCTTTAAATGCGCGACGAAGCCGTGGTCAAGAAAGAGAGACAGAGAGAGAGAGAGTGTGTGTGTGTGTGTGAGAGCAGGTAGGTACGTAGTGGGCATAAGGTAAAGGCAACGTCGCAGGCCACGGACGGGGGTGCGGGTCCGCAGCATGCCTAATCCTTATCCCGTCCTTGCAGCGGTAGGCTTTCCCCCGTTACCGCCGTCCCAACGTTTTCCTCAAGTGTGATGTATCCAGGTACTGTACCTGTACCTTACGTACCTCCTTGTCGTCCCTACCTCCCTACCTACCTACCTAGGTACGTACCCAGACAGAGGGACAGACAGACACTTACGCAGACAGGCAAAGCAGACTCGGAGAACATAAACAGACAAAGGGGATACAGACACGCAAAACAAGCTGGGGCCCACGCCAGGAGGAACAAACAAGCAAGGACTCCCTGTCGGCGTGCTTGGCATGCCCGGGAACCAATCGCCAACGTCGAAACATCCTAGTGGATGAACCGCCGATGGTATCGAGAGCGAAGCTCAGTGCCAGATACAGTAAGTCCCCAATGACTATGTGGAGCCTCGGGCAGGTTGACTGATGGCTGCGCCCACACACGTTCTCCATAGCCTCACCTTTTGACGGGTTCCCACCCACTCTCACACACAACACTATCTCGTCTACTACGTAGGTACTCTCCCTCACTCCTCCTTTTATTTTTATTATATTCTCGCCTCGTTCTTTTCACTTCCGTCTCTAGTCCTCTAGTCCTCTGGTCGAGTGGTAGGGGCTTGATACTGGGTTATCCTTTTGTTTCCGCCTTCCCAAGAGCTGCAACGCCGCCGGCGATCAGCAAACGGCAATGTGGGCAACCCCCCGCCATGGTCTCATTGGGTTGCCCAAAGCGCAGCCTCCAAGTAGGCATGTGTTACCGTAGTGAGTAGGTAGGTAGGTAGGTGAGTATGATAAAGTATGAAAGTGCTCCATATACGGTACACTACTCGTACAACAACTGTTTGTTGCAGGCTGACGGGCACAGCATTTCTCAGAGTTCGTTCTGGACAGGGGTTCGCGTCCATCCAAGCCAAGCCAAGCCCATCAAGCTTTTGCCATGGAAAAAACCGGTCTGTACCTACTGAGTATTGTCTTGGCACTTACACTCACTGTATTACCTTAGTACAGCGCACTCCGTACTCGGTAGACAACGATGACGGGCCAGTCTGGACCCAATGCATGCATGTACACACGTCCACACGTCCACGAATTGCATGCTGCCACTCGTTCCACCCATCCACCGTCGTCATTGTCATCATCGCCTTCATCATGCTATCATGCATTAGCCAACTACCAGTAGCAGATCCCCCAACCCAGCAAATGCGGTATATGATATCACAGCCCGCCAATCTCACTGCAGGGGGTAGGCTCTCCCTTCTTCGGGGGTTGCGTCCTCCTTAATTCACCCGCCTTCCATTACATTGTCCTCAGTCTCGCCAACTAGTGTACATACCTAGTTTGACTACCTAGCCTAGCGTAAAACAACATTACCTCACCCAACCCTGCCCTCGAAAGAGTCCGGGTGGATCCGCGACCCGGAAACTATTAAACTAACAGGCATGGACCTACACTACACTGCAGGGGAAGACTGACTCGACGGGGAGCGGGATGGGATTTACTCTCTTTCGACATGCTCCCTCGTGACCTCCCATATCCATTCCTCCATCAACCCATCCCTGCCTCCGCTTCGACGTAGTTGCATGCACCAGCAGCGGTGTGTATGCTCTTCTGACGAAAACTCTCCTTCTGCTCCCGCCCGCATGTGGCCCCTGGGCAGAGCCTCAGAGGGCCATTGGCAACAATTCGTTGCCACCAGACCAGACCGTACGTAAACCACTCTGTATATGTAGAGCAACTTCACTCCGCCCAACCTTCGCTCCCTGGGTACTTCCGGGGAGGCAAAGTAGAAAAAATGAGATATAAAAAAAAAAAGAGAAAGAAGAGAAAGAGGAAGAAAAAAAAGAAGAAGAAGAAAAAGAAGAAGAAAAAGAATACGGATAACCTCTTTTGCCCCAGCCCAGTACACGGCAACTACATGTTCGCGAGAGTTATGTGAACCTACGCCACATTGACGCCTGCCCATCCCAAATACTGGAAACCAGAACTGTTCGAGGCTTACCGCCCCCCTTCCGAGAAACATCCATGGGGCCGGAACGGGGTGCTCCAACCGAACCCGCTCGAGCCTCATCGAGCGCAGTGTGGTCTCACTGGCTCCTCCCCCCTTCTCCTCAGGACTCTTCAGATTGTTCAGAAACAGAGAAAACCGCGAGTGGGCGTGTATTGCCCGTATGCCCTCACTCGCAACGTGCGCCAAGAATCGCCAAGGGCGGCCGAATCCAGATGATGGACTGGCCCAACGCATCGTGCACACGAATCACGAAACGGAGACCGGATGCCGAGAACGGTCCCATCTCTCCCAGAGACCAATGCGTTTGCATGTTTTGTGTGTCGCCTTGCTGCCGCGGAGAGGGAGGGAAGAAAAGAAACGAACAAAACAAACTGTAAGAAGCCTTGTCAAAGGCAGGAGCGAATATTGTGTGTGTTTCTTGTCGGAAATGGAAACCATCACCACCACCACAATGCGTAGTGTACACATGAACACACATTGGGAGAGAATCAAACACTCACCAAGCCGTGTCAATTCGCCAGGTTCCACCCCAGTGGCACGCTGCTTACAGGTCGGGGATCACCCTCGTACCTCCCGTTTGACACTCCTAAGAAAAACACACGCGTGTACCGGGCATCTCGACGCGAATATCGACCCTCTCTTGCGTCGCACACTCTGTAGCAGAGTAGCGGTCCACCCGGCTACTCGCACCCTCTACGAAGCCTCAACCACCGCAGGGTGGACTGCGAAGACGGGGAATGGAGCCATGCCCGCTCTCCCAACTTCTACTACAGCCCAGTCGTAGTATGCCCAGGCTGTGTACGCTCAGGGCACATCTACACACATACACACACACACACACACATATATACATACATACATACATACATACACACGGTGCACGGAACCACGACTCCAAACCCCCAGTTCTCACGAAGCTTTCCTACCTAGCCGAACGAAAAAGAAGAAGAGTAGAAAAAAATATAATAGGGGGGGAGGGAGCCGTTTCCTGCCTTACTTTTCCTTAGCTTCCCTCCCTCCACGACCGTAAACACGGTAGCCCTCTTTCCATCCGACCTAAATGCACCCTTTGGGTACCTTGGTCCGATCCCCTTCGGATCCCCATAACCTAATTGCGACTTCTGCAACTCCCGCGACGTCTGCGACGCCTGCGATGCAGTGAAATCCCCCCCCCCCCCCCCCCCTTTCTTTTTCCCTTTATCTAGCAACTCGTCTGGACGAACCTTTCGGTCCTCCTTCGAGCTCATTGGGCAATCCCGGAAAGGGAGACATTGCTCCAGAATTCTAATCCCAACTTCGTCCTGCAATATGGCGAACGGGGCGCCCAAAAGACGCATCACCCAAAACTGTTCCGGAAAAAACATTACATACTACGTAACTGCAGGGGGAAGGGGACGGCGCAAATCCAATTCGAGCTTCCAATTCGCTCCCTCGGCAAATGTTCAGACTTGGCTTATCAATCTTCAATTTACACTCAGTACGGAGACCTATCTACGGATACGAGTAAGCATTAGAGAGATGCCTACAGTACACTAAGCCGGCCCACACGCGCCCAGAAGTGACGTCAGCTTCTCATTCGCCTCCTCATTGGTGGATAAGGCGGTACCTGTGATTGGCCGGCTCTAAGAATGACTAGTCCGCCGCGCCACGCTCAGCCACAACACGCATGCAACCCCAGCGATATCCAGACGCCACCGCCAACTTCATGAACTACACTAGGACCGTTGGCCCTCTTGGCCACCACTGCCAAGCCATACAGGGGGGTCATCCTGTCATCAGCGCCGTTGGTCCCCTCGGGTCTCATTCGGCGCCCTCTTATGTCTACGGAAGGGAAAATGACTTCATTCTCGCATGGGGGACCCTGTCGGTGATTTACCATTGAATACGGAGTACAACTCATTATGTTTCTGTCATCCGTCACTGCACGTCCTGTACCGACCGGTAGGCCTGCAAGCCCGCAGCTTTCACTAGGTACACGACGCGCTGCATACTACATGACACGCTTCGCAAGTCAAATTCCGTTCTGATTCTGCTTCTGCTTCTGCTTCTGCTTCCCCTTCTGTATTCCTGGTACGCCTTTGTCCGCCGCCAGCACGCAACCGGGATCGCCGCTGTGATGCAATCAAATTAAGAAGGAAAATGTTGGGTTAGACCAACCACGAAAAAGGCCTCCTTCTACGAGGCAGGAAACACCACCCATCCCATCTGTACCGAACAAGATAATAATAAAAAAAGAACCCCCCCCCCCCTACCATCTCATGAACCATTGTCTAGCGACGCGATTAAAACCAACAAGCTTCCCTGTTTAAGCGAAGAGAGGGAACCCATGAAAGAAACTCCTTCCGACGTTGTATGCCCGTTCGCCAACAATGCAGCAGACGTTTGAGACAGCTATGAACATCTGACAATGACGCCAAACAACCAGACTGGTCTCCTCTTGGCTTGGTATTCGCACATTATAGCCTCAAACTTAGTAGGGGAAGAGGGGGGGAGGGAGAGGGTTGAGTCCCTCGTATCCGCCGTCTCAACACTCGACTTGTCGAGCTGGAGAGAGGCTCATCTGAGACGACCGGGTACCGCACAACGGTCTAGATTTCGAAATAATAGGCTGTGAACAATCGAGAGCACCGAGGGTGTCCTATCTCTCGTCGCCGCCTCTCGCTTTGCCCCGTCGCCGGAAGAAATCCATGACTCTTTTGGCGGCTCCGCTGCTGCCTTGGTGGCCGGTGTAGTCTGCGTCCGTAAATCTCTTATTATTCTTCTGCAACAAGCTGGATCGGCCGTTTCCACGGGGGGAGTTGGACTGCTGTTGTCGGTCGTAGCCTTCCGACTCAGAAAACCCGCTACCGTGGTATGCTGCGCTCGACTGCCTTCTTTGCTGGTAGCCATTCTCAAACGACGATTCCGAACCCGTGTTGAGAACCGCACCCTGTTGCATATAGCCCGGTACAGAGCTGGGTTGCCCGATTGGGCCCATATGCTGCGGCTCCTGCTGTTGTTGATAATCTTGTTGCTGATTCTGCCAATCTTGATGCTGAAGCTGCGGTGCCGAGTTGGAGCCGGGAGGCTGTCGATACCCCCCCTGGTCGTGACCACCATCGTAGCCCCGCGATTGACCTTGTCGATCCACGTACCGTCCATGCTCGTCGACCTCGGGGGGTTCTTGAATGGGCAGGTCAGGCTGAGACTGAGGCTCCGACGGCGGCCGGTCGTAATCCCTGCCTAAGCCAATGGCCCTCAGCGAGAAAGTTTGCGGGATCAACGAAAACCTTCTGTTTGGCTTTTCGTGGGAAGTCTGGGAACCGGCGATGCTACCGCTTCGCTTCTTTCCGAAGCTCCGGGAGAAGGAGTGTCTCGACGTCCTCGAGTCTATCGAGGGGCGGGGCTGACCTTCAGCCGGCATGTTGTTGGGCATGCTGACCGGAGGATACTTCCGGCTCTTGTCTGCCATCTGAGACTCGGGTCGTTTGCTGCGGTTCTTACCCCCAAAAATGGACCCGTTGCGACCCAGCAGAGAGCCGATGGTGTTGGAACGCTTGTGTCCGTGACCTCTACCATCGCTCGACTGAGGCGGGGTCTGGGTCTGGGCCTGGCTCTGGCTCTGGGCGGCTTGCTGCTCTGCGGCGAATCCTGCAACCTTAGCAAACTTTGAGGGTACGCTGACACTGGGCCTTCCCATAGCCTGAGGCTCCTGGGAACTAGGCTGTTGAATCCGGCCATGAGCATTGGTGCCCGCAACGGCGGGGGGGATTGGCTGGCTGTACGATGTGCGGTTCCCGGCTCCCAGTCCCATAGAACCCGACGCCATCGAGTTTCCTGTTTGGGGTCTGCCGGTCGCCGGTACGCTCGACGTTGAGGACACGAATGCGTTGTCGGATGTCGCGCGGGTTTCGCGCGTTGGCCTTGAAGGAGCCGTTGCCGTGTTCCGATGAGAGCTTGGCGGGCGCGTGTTCTGCCGACTGGCGACCCTGTACGAGTCTCGCGAGACGGGAGGGTCTCTAGGGAGAGGTTTGTCCTGAAGTGCCTGGCCATCCGCGACCTCCACCGGACCTTGACTGTTTGAGCGCGCCCGGGATTTGCTGCCCGACGGAGCCGCCTCCCCTCTTTGAGTCTGTGTTGTTGGCGCCACGTATTCGACCTGCACGGTACGACGCTTATTGTCCTTGTGCTGCTTCGCAATGGCGGCTGCCTCTGCATCCGTATCGATCTTGGCATGCTTGCTCGCCAGTCCTCCGACCGAAGTAGGGGCATTGGCCTTCGTCTTCGAGGCCTCGCGGACCGATGCGCTACGTCCAATACCAGGCTCCTCCACGAAGTCCTCCGAAGGTACGGTTGTGTTCTGGATCTCGTTCGGTGTCGTAGTGCTGCTTGTGATGAACTCGACGACGTGTGCGTACTCGTTCAGCCAGCTATGACGAGCCACCTCGAACAAATCCGCTCGTTTCCTCGGGTTGGGAACCAGTATTCTCCGGAGAAGATCGCGAGCGTGAGGGGTTACGTATTCGGGGAAGGTGAGGGGGGTGTTGACGATGTACTTGTACAGTAGATTAATGTTGTCGCCCTCAGGGTTCGCGGGGTCATCGTCGAAGGGGAGGTAGCCAGCCAACATGGCATACTGTTTCAGTTAGTTTGTGGAATGACAGCGCTTGGAATGAGATACTTGCCAGAATAACACCGCAGCTCCACACATCGACCTTCCGGCCAGTGTACAGAGAATCGCTAACGACGAGTTCCGGAGCAGCGTAGCAAGGACTGCCACAGCTAGTCTGCATCAGGTCACCCTTCCTCGAGCCATTGGTCTTGACTCTGTCCAGGCCCAGCTTCTTGACGAACTCGCGGTCGCCGAGATTCAGCTCCTCCTCTTCGGAAAGCTCTTCCTCGGCGTCGAATGTGTTGGCAAAGCCAAAGTCAGTAATGATGATGTTACGGTTCCGGTCCAAAAGCAGGTTTTCCAACTTGAGATCTCTGTGGACGATGCCCTTCTTGTGTAGATAACCGACACCAGAGACAAGCTGGGCGAAGAGTCTTCGCGCGGCATTGTCCTTGAGATATCGGTGGTTCAGGATATAGTCGAACAATTCACCTCCAGAAGCGTACTCAAGAATGATACCAATATGCCTTTCGGTCTCGACCATTTCATGCAGGCGAACAATGTTGGGGTGGGAAATGCCCCTAAGAATAGCGATTTCACGGTAAATCTTTGCTAGCCTTGAGGGGTTATTGCCCACACTGTCTCGCTTGATCAGCTTGATTGCGACCTATTCCGGTTTCGTTAGCAAAGACTCCAGGGGGGAGGGGGCCGTAGCGGGTCGTAGACTCACTTGCACACCGCCATCGTTCTTCCAGCCGAGTTTGACTTTTCCGAACTCACCCTCGCCAATTGTGTTGCCGAGGATGTAGTCGCCAAATCGAACTACTTTTTCACGCTTCCCAGAGTGCTCGTGCCGGCTTCTGACTCCTCGTCTGCCATCATCGTGATCAGTCATCGCAACGACGGGGGGCGGTGCAGCATCATCTTGTAATGACCCGATGTGAGCAGGTTGGGCCTCTGTCAGTCGCTCTTTTTCGCGGGCGATATCAACTTCAGGCTGAGAAATCACCATTCTGTTCAACACCTCGCTCGCTTCGCGCGAGGGCTGCTTGGGAGACGCAGTTGTCTGGGGCGGGGCATGTGATCGGACGGGAATGACTGTAGGCTGGCTTCCAGGCCTGTTCCCAGTAGACCGATGAGGTGAATCGGGCGCCATTTGCTGATGCGATCTTCTGCTGCGCGACGCGGACCCGTCGTCAGAGTATGTGTAGTCGGCATTGCCGTTCGTAGCATCTGCTTGACCACGTCGCGGTGAGGAAGTCGCCTTGTCGGCAGCGTGATCGCGTCTCTTCGTGGTCGCGGTGGCCGCTGCACTCGAGTAGTTCGTCGAAGACGTCCGAGGGGGGGCAATGGGAGGCATATTTTTCCGCTGTTCGGGTGAAGACTGGTGGTAATCGAGGGAGGAAGGCGCGACGGCGACGGAACTGGCGGGAGCCGCTCGGGACGTCATGGGCAAAGCCGGGTCCGGACTGTTTACAGACGCGCCGAGTTCGCTTGATCGGCTCGAGGGGCGGTGTGCAGGTGCGAGTGAGGCAATGTTGTTTTGCAGATTGGCATTGTACGCCTCGCGGGTCGGGTCGGGGTGGTTCGACGTGTACTGGCGGCTGCTCAATGAAGCTGCGAGTAAAGGCGGTGATGCCAAAGCTGATGTCTGATGGGTAGGCTGCAAAGCGGCCGAGGACATGCTCTAGCGACGACACTGGAAACGCAAGCGCGCCGAAAATAGAGTTCCGTCTGGGGGGTCGTCCTAGTTTGTTGTGTTTTGTTTCGCAGATGCCGCTAAGAAGTCGGTCTACAATATTTGGTGCGTTTTTTGAGGGGGAGGAGCCAAGGGAGGCTGGCTAGCTGGATTGCTGGCGGAGAATGCAGAAGAGAAGAATCCGTAAGCGATAGATTTCCCTTTTCTGTGAAGTAAAGTTGCTCGTTGGGCACCAGGTTTCAGGACGTAGGAATTATTGAGCTGCAGGAATTAACTCGTCCAGATTTGGGATGGGACGGTCAAGTCCGATTGGAGCTTCAGTATTATGGTCCTTGGGTAGGTCGTGCCGTTGACAGTTTTACGGTACCAATGAACCGGGCCAGTCTACCTCATGGTACAAGGGGGAAGGAGTCGCTTTCGTTTTACTTCCCTGGCCGAGAGCTGCTGTGGTTTGTTGTTTGCTGTAGTATTGCAGCTTGACCCAGACGAAATGTGTCGGCGACAATCGTCTTGGGAGGGGGGATCGAGTCAATGCTGCTGCAGCGACGCTGAGCAAGGACGCGACAAGGGGGGGAGATCACGCAGCGCACGAACTCTGACGTGAAAAGGCTGTGCAACTGATCGATGCAGCTTTGAACTTGTTGTGCCCTCTTGTCTTTCAATCTTGCCCTAGATGCCGTCCGAAACCAAAACGGGTAACAGACAGTAGGTGAGATGAGTGAGCGTGTGCAAGAGAGAGATAGAGAGAGAAGAGGGAGAGGAAGGGGGCAAAGAGTGTGAGTCGGAGGCAGCGGGAAGCTGTGTCGGTGAGGTGGCCCCAGTCAAAGGGAGGAGGAGGCTGGCCGGAATCTGGTGGGAAGCCGATATTTTGTCAAACAGCCCCTTTGTCAGCCCAATTGAGGACGTTCAGCCTGGCTCGAGAAGCGATAAGCTCTCAAGATGCAGGACGAAAACAACGACAACAGGGACAACAGGAATGAGCGCCCGGACCCTGGTCTGTGTGTGGAGGATTGTGTCGATGGACGAAGGTGTCGACGGTGCGCTTCTCTGCCTTGGGTGGGATCGAGACTAGCGGTAGACAACACAAAGGAAGACTGACACAGACAACCAACGAAGGAGGCCCTTCGTCCTAAGAAGTCGGGGTATTCGTACAAGAGGTGGGATTAAGGCGAGGGGAGGGCCCAAGTTGGGGAGGAAGAGAGGCGGTGGGAGGTGAGAGGAGGAGGAGGAGGGCAATTCGATTGGAGGGTGGCCGGACCAGATGAGTGAAAGACAGGCGGGATTGGAAATGGACCTTGTCTTGGCTTTGAGCAAGGGAGGTAGAGAGAGAGAGAGAGAGTGACAACAAACGGACGGTCAGACTCTCCTCGTTTTCGTTGGAGTAAAATTGACGAGATGAGACTTGGGACGAGCCGGTTGCAGGACGCCCGATATTTGGAACAGCGCAACGCGGATCGCGACGAAAGAAGCAGCCCAGCCCAGCAGAGCCCAGCAAAGCCCAGTCCAGCAAAGCAGAGGGAGCTCGAGCGCGCGTGGGAGTCCTGGAGCAAGAGAGAGAGAGATTGGAGACGAGCGGGCGTGCGTGCGGGCGGGTGAGCGAATGAGCTGCCCAGATGAAGAGAGCAGGTCCCGTCGTGGCCGAATCCAAGGTAGGTCCTCGGGCGTATCGTGTACTTGCAGGGGTGAAATGTAATGCAAGTACGAAGTACCGCCTTCACTTAACTTAAGTGAAGGCGGAGACGTACGTGGGCCTGGGGAGGGGGAAAAGCGGGAAAAAGGGAGCGGCGGCGGTACATGCAACCTAGCAGCGGATGCAGGTACCAGATACTCGCTAATATCCGCTAATGCTGCCCACCACTGCAGCATGCAACCGCGACTGCGACAGACGACTGATAGATTGCTACGATGGCTAGGTAGGTTAAGCGTTGGTGCAGCTGCCGTCAAGCCTGGCAATCTACCGGTCGCGATACAAGTGGAAGGAGGGTTGCAGGAGACTCAGAAACGGGTTTTGCAACTGCAATGGTTCGCCCGGTGAGGATGTCTGCGATGTTGACAAGACGGGAGAGGAGATGGAGTCGAGTTGGGCTGAACCTCCCCAGAAGTGAGCTGAGCCGACACGGGGGACAGGGAAGAAGAGATCTTCGATCCGCATGGCCGTAAAAGGTTATCAGCTTTGTATTACCGCCGCAATTTAGAGACTTGACCGTTGCCGCTCAGACTGTACAAGCAGGAATGGGGAAATGCCGCCTTGTAGCTGTACCTCAGTCTCCTATTACGACTGTCCAAGCACCACCTCGGTCGGATGTTCAGATGGGTGGCGTATGCCGGGAGAATGGACAGCTGCTTGTTGTTGCTTATTTCTTCCTTTGAGGAGAAGGGACTGGTGGGTGGTGTGTCCGATCCAGCTTGGTTGATTACTTGGTTCCGTGGCCCATGGGTATCGAAGATTGATTACTCGTTCTCAATAATTGCCTCTATGTAGCGACGCTCGGAATGAATTGACCTTCCCTTCCGTTACTGTCGAGAGGAGACCGGCACGCGGGGAGGCTTCTCGACGGAAAAGGTGGATTTTCGGGAGCGACGGCCGGTGACGGCAATCTGAAGAATAGAAGGGGGGGGGGGGGGGGGTTTTGTCCCCGACCAGGCCACCCAATGTAGAAATTGACGAATCTAATTTGTCACAATTTGGCCTGTCTGACTTCGGGTCTCAGCCAAAGCACGAGCATGTTGTAGGTCGGAGGTGAATTGTGTTAGTTTAAGACTGAGGGCGTTGCACAACAGGCGGAAGAAACGTGGGCTGCTGGCCTCCTGGCCTGCTGCTGGCGCGGTTCCTGAAGTTCGACGCTAATGATTGGTGTGTGCATTGGCCTTGATAATGGGCGGTAGGTATTCGGTCTTCTACTCGTGAATGTCGAAGGGAGCACCTGGAATTCAATCTCGACCACCTTCGAGCCCGGCGCAGACGCGCAGACAAGGTTGTCGGTCGGTCGTTGACTCGAGTAGGCGCGGTAGTAGGATGTGGAGAATTGGGAGGGGAGTGTCCGGCGACCTACCTACCTTAGGTAAGGTACCTGGGTAGAAAGAGATGAAGGAGGGCGAGGCGGGCGCGGTGATGAGACAGAAGGAAGGAGAGGTGCAGATACGGAAAGGAAAGCTCAACATGCGAGCACTCCTTCCTGCCTTGGCTACCTATCTCGCCGGTACATACCTACCCGGACGGTAAATATCATTCAAGTAATTACCTCGGGCAGGTAGGTACCTTCCCTCTACTCACCCAACCAAATTTTCCCTTTGCTTATTCCTCCTATAGTTTATTGCCCAAAAGCATCTTACCCTCTACAAGTCCAGGCACGGTCTCCACGACTCAATTTCTGCCAGTCGCTCTAGCTGCTCTAGCTCGCCTCTCACCAGAAGTCGAGGAGCTTGACTTCGGCCTCGGCAAAGTCTTGTGACCCCAATTCGACTCGGTCGAGCGAGCCAGCATCAAGCCTCGACGCCGCACTCCACCTCGTTCGATGATAACGAAAGGAGCAACACCTTGCCTAGGCCGGCCATCCAGCAATATCACATCATCCTCCAAGCCCAGAGTGCATGACACCATCGAGAACTAGCTACAAGGCATAATGCAAATGCGTCCGGCTCCAATAAGCTTGTCGGATGCAGACGGTGAGTGCTTGTCTGAAATTCAAGGTCACAACGCATCTCGGCCTGCATTGATCTCTACCCTTTGCTCATGCAGCAGAGTCGCATCACGATTAACATGTGTGTTCAGGTGGTCATCTCCAAACAAAACGTCCCTCATCCCTGCCCATCAGTGCGCTGGCCATCTACGCGACAGGGGCCAGGATGGAAACATGGTCCAGGGTCTTGCCATTCTCGCTTATCATCATCAGAAGCACCAGCTGCTGCAGGCGCTAGAGTCAATCACAAGCGTTCGTTTGCAAACGATTTGCATTTCATCCGATCCTATTCTACCCTGACTGTAGCCAGTTCCAGGGGAGATGCGTTGTTGACGGGGCGTGGCGCTTCCAGTCAGTGAATCGCGTATTCGTATACTACGGGAGACAACACAGCACGAAATGGGGTCTTTTCTGCGCTCCACCATCCACGACGCGATTATGCGAAGACAAGGAAGGTCCATCTTGTTTGTTGTGGCATAGCGGCATAGGCTTGCTTGTTTTTTGCAATTAAGGTCGCAGCGAGGTCCCTTGCTTTGACGTGTCAGTATGCATTTCTTCAATTGCTGTCCAGAGCCTGACTGGCTATCGGTCGGTGTTTGCGAGACCGGACGGCTGACTTCCCCTTGCCTTCATAGATCTGATGTTTGCGCAACGAATTTCGTTCAGCTGCTGACCTCCCCACGCATCCATTTCGAAGCCGTCACTATCTCGTCTTCGCCGCCTGATGCGCACCAGCCCGCCGGAACTGATGCCTGACATTGACTTATGTCTAACAGCGACATCCCTTGACTTAATGAAGTCAGTCGCCTTTGTCTTGGTACTCTGGACGTTATGCCTAGCGTTGCCTGGTAATCTTCATAGCATTGACGACGCGACCCATGCACGAAATATCCAGCTATGTCATCAAGCAATTTTCTAGATCTTTTCCCCCTTCAGTTGCTTCCTTCATGCCGAACCCCTTTGACATCATGATTCGCCCGACAAGCATCCATCACAGCCGCTCGCTCGCCCTACCATCGCCCCACCTACGCGAACGAGATACCGTCGGTTCCGGCTCTGCTCCTCGTGCAC